TATATATATATATTAATTTCCATTCGTTCATTACATTTCCCCAGTGATTTTGGATTTATTTCGGGTATAACCTTTTTAAGTCTAAATCTCAACCGTTTACTTATGTTCCAAGTTCCATAATATAGTGTTGGAGAGAGCTGGAGACATTTATGGCAAGAGAAAATCTGCTTTCCTCTCAAATTGAGTTCAAGTCATTCTCATCAAATGACATTTTTACTTAGGACTAAATATATCTTAAAAATCAGATCCAAGTAAATGAATTTTTTAATTGATTTACTGTATAAAAACGTTTACCTAAACGTATCTATTGTACTCTCTATATAATGCATTTTATTTGTGTTGTTCTATTCCTTTTGCTTTATTTATTCCGTTTCTTTATCGATACGTTTATCCCTTGTAAGTAATCTTCAAAAGTAATAAAGGAAGAGTGGAATCAATCGTCCTCAAAGCACAGGAGGACCATTTCGATGCAGCAATAAAAAACGGAAGCGTGCAAACTTTACAAATTCTTTGGTAGAAAGCGATTCCAGATAGATTTGAAGGAGCCATCGCCACTATTGAACCATCCAATCCAATGACTATTTGGAAAGTGACAAAATGTAGATGAGTTATTTTAATGGCTTATCACTTATGTTATAGTGATGGTTGTTTTTTTTTTTTTTTAATAAAAAATATGATGGAACCAGACTAAAATATAACATATATTATTTCTACTCGCTTTACTTAAAAAATGAAGGTAAGGTAAAAATTGCATAATGTATATGATATGGTATATTGTTAAAATAGAATAAAAGTAAATGGAATAAGGTGTCAAGTGTGAAGCGTTAAAGAAAATTGGAAGGTGATGAGATGAGGTTGAATTACATTGTTTATGTTACAGTTAGAGAGAGTTGGTGATCCGGTTGCGGTTGAGGTTGAGGTTGAGGTTGAGGTTGAGGTTGAGGTTGAGGTTGAGGTTGGGGTTGGGGATGGCGTTTTCTACAATGAAAGTAAAAGACAGTCATAACAACATAACTAGACAGAACTAAAAAGGCGTAGCAAACTATAACGGTGGCTTTATCCACAAGCCCGATCGAATCTTCAGCGTCCATCAAGCGCTCCAGCTTCGACCCAATAAGGCCCGACCCAAGCACGAACAGACCCGAGAGGAGGGAGCCGCAGAGGCGGTTTCCCTCCATGAGGGCCGACCCGACCCGAATGGCGTCCCAGGCGAGGGTCTCTTCGGCGACGGAAACGACGATGCTGAGGCTCATGAGGGCCATGAGGTAGAGCTGGAGGGCGAGGAGGAGGAGTGCGGGGGCGGGGTGGGGGGCGAGGAGGGGGAGGGGGGAGAGGGCGAAGAGGATGCCGTAGACGAAGAGGGTGGTGGCGAGGAGGCGGAGGGCGGAG